AAAATTGGTGAAATTTGAATAATATGTGTAGTGTAGTTATTAGTACTATACTAATGTTAATCTCCTGATTTTGATAATCACACTGTATGTGTGTAAGTTGTTAGCCTTAGGTATGGGGAGCTGGGTGGGGTATATATGAGCTCTTTATACTGTTTTTACAACTTTTCTATGAGTCTGAAATTATTACAAAGCAAAAAGAAAAGTAATAATGTCATGTGTATTGGATTTCTTTTTTTGTCACCAGTGCTCACTTTGCTTTCCTTTTGGCCATAAAGGTGAGGGATTTGGTTAGAATCAGAGAGGAAGCTTCATAACAGCATTGCGATGACTAACATGTTTGGAACTCTCACAGGCTGGTGCTGCTGAGCAGTTTATATGGACAGACAAAAGAGCACAGACTCCAGATCAGAACTGTGTAAATTTGAAATCTGACTTCTGTTTATTGGCCTTGAGACCTTGAGAAAGTTACTTTACATCTCTGTGCTTCAATTTCCTCATCTATGAAATGAGTATAATAATTGAAGTCACATCTCATAGGGTTGTTAGGCAGATTAAATGAGCTAATTCATGTAAAGTACAAAGAGAAGATAAGTAACTTACCCAGTATTACAGAGCTGGTAAGTAGCAAACTGGGATTTGAACTAATTGGTCTGATCCCAGAGCCTGTGCATCTAACCTCTGGTTATCGAGTTGTTGAGCACAGGCAGGAGGACCAACTGGCTCGTGTAGGCACCAGAATGACGTCTTGGCTACCTGAGCATCCTGTCCTAAAGGATTAGATTAAGTGGGCCAGGCTAGAGGAGAACACAGTCATACCAGGTGCTTGACTCTTTGAAACTCATCTGATTGTTTCTTGAAGCATTTTGTTGAGAAAATTTTGTCCTAGTGTTTGTTTGGCACTAGACATTCAAACTAGAACTTACAGATGTTGATTGCCTCGTGACTCACACAACCCTTTCCAGCAAACAATTTGTTAGGTTCTTATCATTTTTTAGTACTCATCACATCTCCCGGAACCAATTAACGACCAGTGCCAAGGTACTACTGTGTTATAAGTAATATTCTTTAGATTTCAAGAAGAATGGTGGGGTGTGCCAGCTGTTCTCATTGACAGCAGGTCCCACCATTGAACAGGTTTTGCTCTTTGTGATGAGGTTGGAAAGATACAAAATTTCCAGACTAATGTTATTCTTGTAGAATAATAGCAGGCTATTATAAATGATAGCCTAGTCACACTGGGCATGTTATTTGCTAGCTGGGTGCTAGAAAATAATTTATTTAAAAAGTGAAGCTGGGCGTGGCACACTTGTAATCCTAGCACTCTAGAGGCTGAGGCAGGAGGACTGCCATGAGTTCAAGGCCAGCCTGCATACTGAGACCTTGTCTCAAAAAAAAAAGTGAAATATTTGGGATTTTGGAAATAACAATTATTGATTGTTAGTATTTTTGCTGAACATTAATTATACACAAGTGGAATTAACCATAAGTAGTGATGCAAATGAATTAAACTTTCAGGGCTTTGATAATGAGATATTGAGGCATGGGGCACAGCTCGAAAGTAGAGCAGCCCAAGGGTTCCATCCCTAGTACCACTCGCAAGAAAAGAGAAGAAAGAGAGAAGTTTTACCGTGTTGGTTTCTTCTTCCACAATAAAGTTATACTTCTCTTTTTTTAGTATGGTTGGTGAAAGGCCTTCCAGGATTAAAATGTGCACACATCCTTGGCAGCACGAGGAGCAGATGAAATACACTGCATTAAGTATACATCACTCCATTGTCTTTAATCTAATTACCTCTTAACATCATTTGTCATCATATAGTTAAAGTTCTGGTATGTGTTGAATTAAGTGTAAAGTATTCTATGGAGTAGTGCTATCCAATAAAAATATGTATTACTCTGTGATTTCAAATGTTCTAGTAGCCACATTTAAAAAGGAAAAGGAGGCTGGCGATTTAGCTCAGTGGTTCCGCTGCCTGCCTTGCAAGTGCAAGGACCTGAGTTCGATCCCTGGTACCAAAAAAACCAAACAGACAAACAAACAAATAAAAAAACAATTAAAAAGGAAAAGGAAAAAGATGAACTTAATCTTAAAACTATATTTTATTTAAATATCAAAAATATGGGGGCTGGAGATTTGTGGTTTTGCCGCCTGCTGCGCAAGTGCAGGGACCCGAGTTTGATCCCCAGTACCTAAAGAAAAAAAAAATATGACTTCAGTTTATGATTTTAAACATTAATGATACATATTACATTATTTTCCGTCTTAAGTCTTTAAAATCTGGTATTTCTTATAATTACAGTATATCCCAGTTCAGATTTGATGCAGTTCAGTTGCTAAATACAGTATTAGATAATACAACCCTAGGGTATAAGTTCATGATCTTTGTCCAGAAAATGAATTAAACCTGTCTTTGGACAGAGCCAAGAACAGTATTTATTTTTTCAGATGGGCACCAAAGTATGGTAAAGTCTGAAGACATTTAAATTTTTTAAAAAATTGTTTGCACGCTGAGGATGTGGTAGCCAATGCCTTGCGCATGCTAGGCAAGTGTTCTGCCACTGAACTGTACCCTTAGTCCCTTTCTATGAGTGTTTCTATAGGTTTGGTTTGGTTTTGAACATGTTTTCTTGAGACAGTCTTGCTGTGGTGCCCAGGCTGGCCTTGAACCCCGGGCCCCAGTGATCTCCCCACTGTAGCCACCCACGCAACTGAGACCCCAGGCGTGTGTGCCACCACACCCAGCTGATTTTACATTTTATTTGATTATGGTGTTTATCTTTTATATTTAAATAAAAAGATGATGTAAATATTTGTGGTCTTTACCTTGACAACCTTTGGGAGGGCATTTTGTTTCAGTCTTTCAGTTTTATCTATGTATATGTTTTAATTCAGCAGCTTTACATCTCAAAATTTCTATACCATAGAAAAATGTGAACACACTAATTTATGTATGAGCATCTTCATTTTGGCATTGTTTAATACATTTTTAAAAGAGGAGAACCCTATCAGTAAGAGGTTAAATATATTAACACAATGAAATAATCTGAACTATGAAAAACAAATAGCACATACAGTTCAGTAGGAGGGGGAGCATAATGCCAAATATGAATTGCAGTCATTCATAGCTGAGCAAGTGAGATACATTCTGAGAAATGTGATGTTAGGTGATCTCATCAATGTGTGAACACCATGGGGCAGTGATGGCAAACCTGTTAGAGCTTTCAGTTATAATGAACAGCCCCCTGCGACACACGTGCCAAAAGTTCGCCACCACTGTCACAGAGTGTCCTCACATAAACCTAGATATTACAGCATACTACACACCTCGGCTAGTGGTATGCTGTTGTACATGTCTCACCATCATTGACCAGAGTGTTGTTATGCAGAGCATGACTCTATATTACAGTCCTGTTTTTATATTAAAATATATTGTTTGTACATGGAAAATGCTACAACCAAATTAACACTTTTAATTAATAGTGATTATTTCTGGAGACTAGAAATACAGGAAACTTTTCAGTTCTCTGTACATTACTGTACTTGGATTCTTTGTATAAGAATTATATGTTAACCTTATAACTAGTGGGTTGCAAGCATATATTTTATTTATTTTTTTTTTATTTTATTTTATTTTATTTTTTTGGTACCGGGGATTGAACTCGGGACCTTGCACTTGAGAGGCAGGTGGTGGAACAACTGAGCTAAATCCCCGGCCCTATATGATAGTTTTTTTATGTTTTCTCCCTGTTTTACAAAGAGTAAAAAGTTGGAAGCAATGTACAGGATTAAAAATATGAAAATATATTATGATATTTCCATTCTTGGAATTGTATGTACCCATTAAGATATTATTTAGGGGACTGGGGATTTAGCTCAGTGGTTCTGTCAGCCGGCTCGCAAGCGCAAGAACCTGAGTTCAATCCCCGGTACAAAAAAAAAAAAATCACTGTGCAGAACAAATTATAGGTAGAAGAATTGAATTTTTGTGTAGGCTTTATTTTCCAAACTCTCTGTAGTGAATTTATACTTTTTCTGTTGAATTGAACAAAACGTAATCACTGTTATTCTTTGTTGAGAAAATAATGAAATTTGGGTGGCTTAATTATTTGATACATGTAAAAATGTTTCCAAAACTGTAAAAACATTCTACACATGAAAAATAATTTTTTGATAGTGTTTTGCTCACATAGCCTCTTCCATTATGATGGATAGAAAGGGATACCTCATTGAGTTCTTATGGTATAATTTGGTCTAATTAAGGTCATATATTTGTTCAGCCCCCTTTACCAGAGAATCTCAATGTATTTTATACAAAGTAAGCTTTTTCTATTGGTTGGAAATACGGGTACTCTAACTTAAATTTCTATAACACCTCTGTAACACCTCAGCTAAAGATCTTGGACTCAAACATGGCCTAAACTCAGTTGGTTCCTTCATTTAAAGACAGGGAAAGGGAAGCCCCACTGGGGCTGCTGCATGGAGGTGTTACAGAATCATAGGAGCCTTTTCTCACTCAGAGCCAGCGTCAGTGAGTGATAGCGTTGGTGAGGGTATTGCATTCAGGTGTTAAGACTGCTACGTGTGCTATTGCCAGCAGGTAGCTTTAATGACACTGAAAAATGATTAAGATGTATGCAGTGGAGCGAGATGAGGTAGTCGGGTCCTCATTGAGTTTTTGTCTAGAATAATGTTCAAGGGTTTGTATATTGCTCAAAGGCACAAGTGTATCTACTCATTTTTTGAGCTGTGATATAAATGGATATGTGTTGAACTATTGTCATTTACAATGTACCATTATCAGATTTTTTTTCTGAAGGATTAAGGAAAGAAAGGGAAAATGCAGTTGTGTGTGGTAAGCATCTATGAATTTTTCTCTGTTCTACTCTGGAGCCAATGTCCCTGTGATCAGCTCTGGAGTGTGTTAACTCATAGAATACATTTCCTTTGCTAGGTTAATAGTTACTAATGTCACTGTCTGATTGTTCCCTGGTTTGTTTAGGTTTCATGTCCTTAACAAGCTCCTGAGCTTCATGGCACCTATTGACCATACTACAATGAATGATGATGCCAGGTGAGTAATAGATTAATTATGTGCCTCAAATGGCTTCATGACAGCCTGATATTGACCTATTCTACAGCCTGTCGCCCCCTTGTTTCTTCTTATCAGTTAACCATTTGTCATTGGCATCATAGCAAGGTCCTTGTCACATGTCTTTACTCCCATAATTACTGTAAAGCCAAATCAAAAATTTCCATAAATCTCAATGCTGCCTCTGGTGGTTGGTTTGTTTTTGCTGTTTTGTTTTGTTTTCAGCTTTAATCTAGGACTCTAGATCATCTGAGTTCCTCTCTAGGACAGAGGGTCAGGACGGCACATGTGCATGCTGTGTGCATTGGGTCTTGTGCTTCATATGCTTCCTTAGGGCGGCTCTAGAGATTGAAGCAGAGCTGTGCATGCATTGTATTTGTTGGGGCTGCCATTGAGGATTTTGAGTGTTTTTATAAAAGAAGTACAGTACACACTCATTTTATACAGCTGAAATGGTGCAAATATACACAGAAAAGGAATGGATACTCGTATTACAATGAGTAACTGATTTTTAAAAAATACTGTAACTAGGACTGGGGATGTAGCTCAGTAGTGGAGCACTTGCCTAGCATGTGTGAGGCTCTTGCTTTAACCCCCAGGATAGGAGTAGATTCTTCTGTGTTTAGTAATTGGCATCCTACTATTGGTTTCCTCCTTTCCTGCATTTATTTACCACTCACTGATTTATTTTTAGTGATATGGACTCATGTGTTCCTATTTTGTTCAGTGAGTTGTTTTTGTTTTGATGTTAAAATTGTCCCAGATTAATGGAAGCCCCTTCAAGCTGGCTTGTGTCTTTTGAAGTGTCCCCCGTTGATCTTTGAGTATTTCTTTTTTTTTTTTTTTTTTTTTGGTACTGGGGATTGAACTTGGGTCCTTGCGCTTTGAATATTTCTTTACTCTGTGGCGCAACAAGATATTTCAAGCTCATCTTATAACTTCCCAGTCAAGCTCTGAAGTCAGTCTTTCTTGAAGGATCTCTTGTTCTTTGAGGTGAGTGATGATCTTTAGAAACCAAGATCTGGACTCTGTGGTGCTCACTGTAGGTGGCAGTCATCATTTTCAGGCTCTCTCAGCTTGTGAACCTGGCAAGGTGTGAATATACATGGGCTTAGGGACCACAGTTAGCATCTCAGAGTGCTTCCTCTTGGGTCTGTGAGTTCTCTTTCAATATATGCTTGTTTTCTTGGTTTTTTTAATAATTGAAATTATAGCCTACTGTATTTTATATAATAGAAGCATTTTCATGCCAATAAAAATATTCAAAAATTTTTTGTTTGGGGGGGATGTGGTTCATTGGTAGAGCACTTGTCTAGCATGCCTAAGGCCCTAGGTTTGATCCCCAGCACCACACACAAAAACATAAAGATTAAAAAAAAATATTTAAATGACTATGCAGTATTTTTATAATACTTACTTAAATACTCACTGACTATTGAGATTTTTAAAGTATTTTAAATTGTCACTGTAAATAATGCCATAGTAGACATTTTTGAGAAGAACAGGTTTTTTTGAGTTTTTTTGGTATTGGGGATCGAACTCGGGTCCTTGGGCTTGCACAGCAGGCAGCGAAACCACTGAGCTAAATCCCCGGCCCATAGACATTTTTAAACATAAATATTTACCAAGTGAAATTACTGGTCATAATGTAGACACATGGAAGTTTTGCCAGCTTATCCTTCACTTTTTTATTTGAAAATAGTTTACTGCGATGCCTTATCATATTTTTATTCCCCTTGCCTGTAAAGTGGTAGGTCTTCAGGTTTAGGGAAACACAATTGTTCTTTTTCATTTGATGTGTTCAGTGCTTTGAGCCCGAAACATCTTATGGGTGGACCTGAGTACATTTACATTGGCTTTTGTGATCCCATATGTTCTCCTGTGCTTTGAAAGTGAATGCATAGGTATGCCTTTTTTTTTTTTAAATTTCCATCCCTTTTTATTTTTCATTCTGAGACACAGTCCTGCTAGATTAGGCTGGCCTCGAACTTGTGATCCTCCTGCCTCACACCCCCAAGTAGCTGAAAATAAGGCATGTGCCCCCAGGTTGGCTGTTGTGTCTGGCCTTTTTGTTTTTTGGGGTTTTTTTGGTACCGGGGATTGAACTCGGGTCCTTGCGCTTGCGCAGCAGGCGGCGAAACCACTGAGCTAAATCCCTGGCCCCTTGTGTCTGGCCTTTTTAAGAGTCAGTGTACAATAAACACATATTAGATTCCCCATCAGAATGGCATGAAAAATTTACATCAATAAGAGAAAAAATTAGGTGTTTAAAACTAAACCAAAGCCTTTTAGGTTAAAGTGAAACCTGGCTTAAATATTAGTGGCATCTGGACCAGGGATGTAACTCAGTGGTACTGCACCTGCCTGGCAAGCACAAGGTCCTGAGTTTGATCCCCAGTACTGGGGAAAAAAAGAAGAAGAAGAAAAGAAATAAAGGCAGTCTTTCATGTAAGCTATTTTAAAAAATATTAGTGGCATTTTTTTTTTTTTTTTTTTTCAGGGATTGAACTCAGGACCTTGCAGCCCAGTTAGTAGCACTTTTAAGGAACTGAGTGAAATCATATCAAGCAAAAAATCAAGAGTTCGTGACTTAGATCCCAAAAAAAAAAAAAAAAAAAAAGAAGAAGAAAAGAAATAAAGTTGACCCAATGTCCTGTATTTTTCTTTTGTGTTTCCCCATTTGATGCTTGGCACTTTGGTCATGTGCTTCATTTTAATTTTGTTGGGAGGGTGTACAGGTGCTTTACATTTTTCTTTTTCAATTTTTCTTTTTCAGTATGGGGGGTCGAACTCAGGACCTTTTGCTTGCCAGGCAGGCACATTGCCAATGAGCTAAATCCCTGGTCCTTCTTTTCCAATTTTTATCGACAACTCTGTTTTGTATTTGGGACTACTGAGATTTACAGATCAAAATAGCTTATTGATTGAAAAACAGAACTGAGATTCCAACCTAGGCCTGCCCTGGGTCTAATAAGCATGCTATCTCTGTATGTTTCATAGGACTCAGAGAACTTGAGACATGAAGTAGAAATTAGAAAATATATAGTGTGACCACCTTGCCTCTTATTTTACACATTGAAGACATTAGGTCCAGATGTGAGAAGGAATTTGTCCAAGTTCCCATAGGAAATGGCAAAGCAGGGAGTCACTTGCTAAATAAATGAATTCATGAATCTGTGGAATTTCCATAGCAGTTAAAAGAAAGATGTTTTTGTACATCTCACAATTGCAAGTTCCCTCTGAAATATCAAGGTATTCTTACACGACCTGTGTTTTAAACAATCAATAACTGGGCAAATAAATATAGATGTTATGCTTACCCACTTTCAACAAATCTCAAATAAAAACTGGAGAACGTAAAATTTCTCTTATTAATCTTGCCTCTGCTAGTCTCAGTTTATCACAATTCAATTTATATCAAGATTCCTTTTGGGAGTAGAACTAGATTAATGATGGCAACTTTTTAATCAAACAAAAGTCTGGTAGAGATTTTGAAAATATTCAACATCTGGAATCTTATTCAGCAAACATTCAGTCACCACTGAGTATCTCTATGCCATGCTAAGTGTTGGGGATATCAAGCTGAACAGAAAAAGTTTTCTGTCTTCAAAGACCTTAAGGCTTAGGAGAAAGACAGACATGCAAGGAGATGTCATCATGTGGTCTGAAGGATTATAAGGGTAGAGAATATACACAAGTAAGACTCTAACCCAATAGAGGTTCTTGGGAAAACTGTCAGTGAATACATGAATATAATTCATACTTTAAAAATCAACTGTTGGGAGGGAAAGGGGATGTTAAAAGAACTAAGATGGGTTATGTTATGTACATGTACCAACTCGCCATGATGAATGTAATCACTATGTACTGCAAAGACGTACTAATAAGAAACCAAAAAAAAAAAAAAGAAACCATAATGGGGAAAAAAATAAGAACAAAGATATATCATGTACAGGTACAAACATCCAATGATAAATGTAAATGAATTGTATACCTAAAATGTA